TCCATGGGTGGATTGTTCTCCCTGTCAGAAAATTCCTCCTTATTTCCAGGCTGAATCTCTCCTTGATCAATTTCCATCCATTCTTCCTTGTCTGGCCTTCAGGTGGCTTGGAGAATAGCTTGACTCCTTCTTCCTCCTCTCTGGGGCAGCCCCTCAAACACTGGAAGATGCTCTCCTGCCTCCCCTGGTCCTTCTCTTCCTTTAGACTAGCCAGGCCCGGTTCCTGGAAGTGCTCCTCGTATGTTTTGGTCTCCAGTCACCTAATCATCTTGGTTGCTTGCTCTTCTCTGCACTTTTTCTAGAGTCTCAGCATCTTCCTTATAGTGCGGTGACCAAACTGGGTGTTTGGATGTGGCCATACTAACTCTTTGTAACGTGGATAAAGGGGGTGGCATGTTTTCAGTGGTGCCCTGGTTGCAGGGCAGGCCCTCCCAAATCGTTGCAAAAGGTGTACAAGGTGAGGATGGGCCTAGATTACCCTTTCTTTGTTCTTTGATGCTTTTGATAACAACAACCAAAAAAGGCATAAAGTTGTCCTGTTGATTCACACTTTCGCATGTGATGCGTTGGAAAACTTCACGCTCACGAGTTGGTTTGTTGGTCGAATGTGCTGTGGTTTTTAGTGTGATTCAGAAAACATTTGCACCCTGAGTTCTGCACTTGTGGGAAATGACTGTGCCTTTATATTTGTCAAAGGGTGTTTTTTTAAAAAAACATAATCCTGTCTGGAGTGTGCAGATTATAAGAGAGCTGGAGGTTTAAATGCCTCCAAATATAGGTTTTGATTTGCAGCAGTGCCTCCTCATTTACTGAGATGAATCGCTTGCCATTATTTGATTATCCTAAAAATCCTATCATATCTATCTACCTACCTATCATCTCTCTCTCTCCCCCCATCTCTCTGCTTACCTAGCTACCTAACAGATCTAACAGATAATCAAGAGTTGGAAGGGACCTTCTAGGTCATCTAATCCAACCCCCCACCCAAGCAGTAAACCCTACACCATTTCTGATAAATGGCAGTCCAATTTCTTCTTGAAAGTCTCAAGTGACGGAGCTTCCACAACTTCTGAAGGCAACTTCTGTTCCCCTGGTTGATTGTCCTCCCTGTCAGAAAGTTTCTCCTTATTTCCAGGTTGAATCTCTCCTGGTTCAGTTTCCATCCATTCTTCCTTCTCTGGCCTTCGGGGGCTTTGGAAAATAGTTTGATCTCTTCCTCCTTTCTGTGGCAGCCCCTCAAATATTGGAAGACTGCTATTCTGTCTCCCCTGGTCCTTCTCTTCACTAGACCAGCCAGGCCCAGTTCCTGTAACCGTTCATCGTAGGTTTTAGCCTCCAGAGACCCCTCATCTTCTTAGTCGCTCTTCTCTGCACTCTTTCTAGAGTCTCAACCTCTTTTTTATAGTGTGGTGACCAAAACTGGATGCAGGACTCTAGGTGTAAATCATCAAATAAAAATCAGAATTCTGTCCTATAAACAGGGTTCAGTGAGTTATTAAAGAGGGGGAAAAAATTTACATGCCATCTTATTTCCTATCGGTAGAATTTCACATCTTAATTGTGGTTCTTTTTGTTTTTTAAAAAAACCTTTTCTGTGGCCTGAGAAAGTTCTCTCTTCCTCTCCACTTTGGTTCCATTACGCACAGAAAACAGTTGGGGTTTTTTCTTTTTGGAGGGGGGGTGTTTGGTTTTTTGAGAACGAAATGTGGTGGAACGAGTTGCAGTCCTCCGTGTCCCTTTGGCAATGAAAAAAAAAAATGAGATACAAACCAATCAGGCCACAATTTGGAAGTGCCTTGTTGTGGGGCTCGCTCCAAAAGCCGGTGGCGTTTTTAACATTGCCAGCCGTTGATGAAAAGGGCCTGCGTGAGATGAGTGAGAAAGCTGCGTTTTGGAGGAAAAAAATACCCGTATTTTCCTCTGTGGTCATTTGGTGCATGAAAAGAGCTCTTTGTGTATAGATCATACCAGAAAAGAATTTCTTGAAAGCTTTTTTTTTCTCCCTTTTTTTTTTTCCAAAATGCGTCTGTTCTTAAGAATTGGTTTCTTAATGTGGACTAGAAATCCTTCCATGCGTGCACACAGAAGAGAAGCTGGCTTGGTTCTCTTAACGGAATTAATGTTTCTCAAAAAGGCGGAAGTGGATCGACAGCACTCACTTCGGCGTTATTTCTTGAGAAGTTATTTAAACCAAGAACTGCCCTCCCACCAGCACTGGAGGTTTTCAAGAGAAGGTTGGACAGCCCTTTCACAGAATAAAAGAGTTGGAAGGGCCCTTGGAGGTCTTCTAGTCCACCCCCCCTGCTCAAGCAGGAGAACCTGTAACATTTGAGAGAGGTGGCTGTCCTGTCTCTTCTTAAAAACCTCCAAACCCCCACAACTTCTGAAGTCAACTTCTGTTCCACTGGTGAATAGTTCTCGCTGTCAGGATAATTTCTCGTAGTTTTAGGAAGTTTCTCTGTTCGTCCTGGGATGGTATAAGCAGTCCCGCCTTGGCCAAGAGATTGGACTAGAAGACCTCCAAAGGTCCCTTTTGCAACTGCCAAAGAAGACTTCGGGTATCTAGTTCAACCCACTGGAGACCCTATCCCATTTCACAGAAATGGTTGTGAAATGTCTCGTTTAAGAACAAAAATGTGGGGCTGAATTATGGTCATAAGTGGAGAACTGTCTGTAAAGGTATCTTTTGTGGCAGGGGTCTCCAACCTTGCGCCCTTTAAGCCTGGAGGACTTCAACTCCCAGAATTCAGCTTTGCTGGCTGGGGAATTCTGGGAGTTGAAGTCCTCCAGGCTTAAAGGGCCCAAGGTTGGAGACCCCTGTTTTGTGAGGTTGTTATTTTTTTTTTAATTTGGAGTTTTGGCAGGGTGTCTGTTCTTGCAGGCCACTAGGGGGCACTGCAGGAACGGCCATGAAATCCCACCAGGCTGTTCTTTGGCTATTCTTTCCCCTCCCCCCACTTCAGTTTTTTGGTCACCTTTCCTGTACAAACACCCACAAACCTGTTTACCTTTCCTCTACAAACACCTACAAACCCCTTTTTTGCCTTCTCCGACCCTCCGCAGAGGCCCTGTCCTTACCTGCGATCCAAAATGGGCCGCCTGGCAACTCCTGGGGTGGGGCGGGGTGGGGCCAGCCAGTCGTCGGAAGTACCGGTTCCCAGAACCAGACGTAAAAGTAACACCCGGATCGGGCGAACCGGTGCGAACCTGCTGAAGCCTGTCCCTGGTTTTGATCCTTGTGAGACAGGTGCTCCAAACGGCTCTCCGTGCAGAGGCGTTTAAATTCCCCAGGGGGGGCCACATCAGTGACCATCTTCCTTCCCTCCATCCAGCGTGGCGGTCAGCTGCACCGAGGACATCCCTCACTTCGGGCCTTGCATCCCGGCCGAGAACTGTTTCCTGAAGGGCCCGGCCTTCCGGGACCTTCTCCTCGCCAAGGTGATCAACGCCGAGAACTCCGCTGAGCGGTCGGGCAAGTTCCACGCCATGGCCACCCGGACGCGTCAGGAGTACCTCCGCGACCTGGCACTCCACCACGTCACCACGAGCACGTTGGAGGCCTCCACGTCCCGACGGCCTCTGATCACTTTGCCGGCAGCCAAGAAACGGGAGAAGTCCAAAGTTCCCAAGGGGGCTGAGGCCCACAGCGCGGGTGCTTTGGTGTGGGGTGTCTGGGCCCGGGACGGGAGCAAAGAACCCAACAGCAAGACATTGGATCTCCGGTGCTTGTTGGGCATCTCCTCGGAGTTTCTAGTCCTCATTGATGCCCGCGAGAAGAGAGTGGTTTTTAACTGCTCGTGCCGGGATATCCTCGCTTGGACTTTCTCGGAGAGTTGCACCTTGGACCTTTATTACGAGACCGGGGATTATATTTGCATGCGTGTGGACGAGGGCCAGGCATCCGACATTCGCGATATCGTCCATCGGCTACAAGTAGGACATTATTTATTTGTGGGTTTTTTTTGCAAATTTGCCTCTTTTTCTGGAATTCCTTTTGTGTGGGCCAAATGTTGCTGCTCCTTCTGGGATTTTAGATCCGGGTGGGCTTACAGCTCTTCCTGTTGGGAGGGCATTGCACTCTTCATATGCTCAGAGGCGATCCAGTGTGTGCAGGTAGTCCTCGACATACCACACTTTATTTAGTGACCATTCGAAGTTATAACGGCACTGAAAAAAAGTGACTTGGGACGGTTTTCTCATTTATCATCTGAACAAAAATTCAGTTGCTTGCCAACTGACTCGTATTTATGACGCTTGCGGTGTCCTGGGGGGAGGTCATGTCATCCCCTTTTTGTGTGATCTTCTGACAAGCTGTGGGGAAGCCAGATTCACTTAGCAGCCGTGTGACTAACTTAAGGACTGTAGTGATTCACTTAACAACTGTGGCCAAAAAAAGGTCATAAAATGCGGCAAAATTTGCTTAACCGCTGTCTTGCTTATGAGCAGGGGTGGGATTCAAATTTTTTAACAACCAGTTCTGTGGGTGTGGCTTAGTTGGTGGGCGTGGCTTGGTGGACATGTGACTGAGTGGACGTGGCTTGGTGGCCATGTTATTGGCTGGGTGTGGCCAACTCAACATCACTCACATCGAGACACACATCTCCTCGCCTGGCCTCGTGACTGTGGGGATGCTGCAATAGTCATAAGTGTAAAAAATGGTCATAAGTCACTATTTCAGTGCCATTGTAACTTTGAATGGTCACTTCACACAAGCAAAGTGCCAGCAAAGGAGGGGAATAAAACTCCAGAGAAGTTCCAGAGACAGGAAGTCTAGTCCTGCCAAGAATGTAATAAGGGTTATCGGAGAGGCAGTTTCTGTAAGCAACACCAGAATGTTTCCTTCCTGCCTTCCTTACAGGATTAGCCCAGTAATTTCTTCTAAAAACTGGTTCTCCCAACTGCTTAGAGTGTTAACAACCGGTTCTAGCGAATAGGTGCGAACCAGTAGAATCTCAACCCTGCTTAGGAGCAACATAAATGTGGGGCTCGGTTTGTGGTCGTAAGTCGAGGACTACCTACACCAGTGGTGGCAAACCTTTTTCGGCTCCCATACCAATAATTGTGCATGCGCTCGCATGCCAACACCCAGAAGACAATGCGTTCTGCCCCCCCCACACCCCCTGCATGCGCGATCCCCTCACAGCGCTGTGCATCTGCGAACGCGATTCCCCTTACCATGTGCTGCATGTCCGCGAATGTGCACGCAATTACTCCCACACGGTGTACGTCTCTGCACATGCGCGCATGATCACTCCCATGTGCCATCCATTTGCGCATGCGCACACGATCCTTCTACGCGCCGTGCATCTTTGCACAGGCGCCCGCGACCCCCAGCATGTGCTGCATTTCTATGCGCAGGCGTGAGTGTCTCCTGATCACCCCCGCCCCCGGCGCATGCATGCCAGATACCCGACAATCGGTTGTTGGGCAGCGGTGCATGTGCAGTGGGGCTTTTCCGGTCAAGCTCTCCCGTGGCAGGGGAAATGACTCTGCGTGCCACTTCCGACACGCGTGGTGTAGGTTCGCCATCACAGACCTACCCTATGACTTAGAAAGCTTGCATTTTAGGATGCTGTAACCTCTGACCCAGTATAGATGGATTTAAACTCTCTTGCTGGCTGGGGAATTCTGGGAGTTGAAGTCCACATAAGATGAAAGTGGCTGAGATGAAGAAACAGTTGGCCCTAAAGCCAGGGGTGTCAAACTCGATTTCATTGAGGGCCGCATCAGGGTTGTGTTTGACCTCGGTGTGTGGGGGCAACGTGGCCATGGTGGACGTGGCCAGTTCCACGTCAGTCATCGAGGTTCCGTTTTCAGCTTCGTTTTTGCTGGCAGAGGCATTGCAGGCTGTTCCTTCGCTGTTTCCAGGGTGGCCCGAGGGCCTAAACTCACTCCTGGCCTAAAGTCACCTCAGGTGCTTCTTTGCTTAGGGGAGGACTAGAACTCAGAGCATCCCACTTCCTAGTCCAACTCGCTCACCGCTGTGCCCAACCATCTCAAAAAACGTGGAGCCATTCGCCAAAAACTTTTGTGCCGTCCCTGAAAATCACTTGTCTGTTTTCCGCCCTTCCCTTCACTTTATTGATTAGCCATATCGAAGTGCCCAGACACAAATTATTACTAAAATTATTACTAAAATACTAAAACCAAATTGAAATGGAAGCGGATAAAGTACAATTTAAAATGAAACTGGAATGAAATAAGATTTGAAATGAACTTGGAATAAAATACAATCATTTATCATTTAATCTATATACTTAAAAGCGAAAGACCACTCACGCATCATCACAAAATCTCCAGAACCGTAAAGCCTACAAACTTGAAATCTGGCACGTAGGTTCCTCTTGGCTTCTAGGTGCTCACTAAGAAAGGATTTTTCCAAATGGCCATCAGAGCATTTAGAGTATTTCCTATATTATTATTATTATTATTATTATTATTATTATTATTATTATTATTA